GTTTTTTTAGTTTTTTTTATTTTAAGTGTTTGAGCAACTGAATCTGAGGTTTTTGAAAATTCTTTTGGGTGACTTTCCAGATGATAAATATTATTTTATTTTTCTACTATCATGCGAAATGGTTACTTCTGGAAGTCACTGGACCAAATTGTCTCTGATACCTGTAGCATATAATAGACAATTAGCAAAGACAAGTAGCCAAAATGGATTTCATAAAAAGAATCACATGGAACTAAGATGATTTTCTCCTTTTTTGTGCCGTAACTGTTGTAAAAGAGTAGCAGTAGCTGTATTCTAACTGTGCAAATATTTTCGACTGGCGTTAATGTGACTTTTGAATAAGCACACAAGCAAAAGAGGGTATAAATAAACGGACTGTATTTTTTCTTACGAACCACAAAGACCACCTTGCACAGTATCACCGTTGTAGGTGGTTGTTTAGACTGGGTGTCTGATGGAGAGAGGGTGTTTGGTTCTGTCAAGCTGAGAGAACCTGCCAAAGGGTATTTTGAGGGCAGTCTGCATTGGCTTGAAAGAATTATGTATTTAGTTGAGATTGAGAAAGGTGAGAAGTGAGCTGAAATAAGTAAGAGAACTCTTTTGTATCCATGAAGCCCTAAGAGAAGTAATTTGACAATAATTTATTCAACTCACCTAGATCTCTTACTGTGAAGGAAATTCTTCCAATTACAAATGCAAGAGATAAAGTGATTTGAAAAATATTAAAGGCTTTTAACTACAATGGTATTTGAAGATTCTTTGATCCATCCTTATGTTAGGAAGATGGAGAGGTGACTTCTCTGAGGTATCTTCCAGTCCTAAGTTTATAAGATTCTACAAATGAGATAGTGAAGATTGTCTGAAAAGTGTTAATCCACTATACTTTGTCCAGCTGTGCATGTTGCTTTTAATTTCCAAAATTTTGGGGGAGGGGAATCCGTATTCATAGCTGTCAGATAAAGGAAGGCTTTTCCACCACTGAAGTTGTTCCTTCTCAAATGTGAGTTGCAGCATGGCATTTGTAGCTGATGTGTATGGACTTGATATACCAGAGTCAAATTTTTTAAAAGTTCACGATTGAATCTTGAAGCTAATAATGCGAGTTTACTTAGTGTTGCTCTGAGAAAATCAATGTTCTTTGTAACCTTTTTTGGTCACTGGTCTCCAGTGTTAAACACTGGAGAGGAATTAATTCCAAGTATTTTAATTTAAACTTCAAATGTTTTCTGAATTACTGTGGTAACAAGGAGCTCAGTTTCCTAATTAAACTATATGAATCTAGCCTTTAAGGGCTTCATTTAAGAGATCTTCTTTTGAACTAGATCTGTCTCCTGATAATCCAGTTTCTCTATTAATGAGACACAACAGGAGACAAATTATTATAAATTGTAAGAAAGAGAGGAAGAAAAAAATAGTTCTTCATGATATCTTTAGGGAATATCTTCCAAGTTTTTTGAATTTCTGTAGCTGTATGCTGGGCTGTATGTACCAGCATGCAACCAGCAGCTCGAGGAAAATGATTTTTTCTCTCTCCCTGGCACTTGAGACCACATCTGGAGTGCTGTCTGTAGGGAGCCACAGCACAAGATACAAAAAAGACACTGGTGTACTGGAGTGAATCCAATAGATGACAGGCAGTGAAAGTGGGGCTGAACTGCATGATGTACAGGGAGACTGACTGGGTTTCTTCAGCTGTGAGAAGGCAAAGGAGAGATCTTGTGGATGGGTAAAACAACATAATACGGGAATATCAGGGAAAATAGTCACAGTGGGAAGACAAGGGCAACAGATACAAATTGGAACATGACATATTCCAATAAGATACAAAAGAAATATTTTATACCATCAGGGTAGTGAAACCCTGGAATGCATTGACTACAGAGGTTGATTAAAAGATTATTTTCTAAATATTAGTTAGCCTGTCTCTTTAAACATTTTTTCACTATTTGAATGAGTTTTGGTTAGTAGGCCATGATGCCCTCTACAGTTTTGTTCCAGTTGCTATAGAGTACTCTCGTTCTGGGAAAGGTCTTTAGTCTTTGTTAGTCTATACAGAAATAATTGAGTTGATGCTTGATAGAAAAAAAAGCAAGTTTTGAAAATATGTGGTGAAAGCCTGTTAAAGATACCCAACTATGTTTATCAGATAAGGAATGCTAAACTTGTATGGCATGGTTAATGGAATAGTAGATAATTGTAAAATGGATACTATATTTTATAATTCCAGTTGTGGGGAAAAAAACCCCAACAAATAATGGGCTTAACTCATATCCTAAAAGTGTATCTCTTTGTCCAATAGAAGCAGTTCTTTTTTTTTTATAGGCTGCCTTGCTTCCATCTCACTGGGCCCAAGAGACTTGTGTATATTCAGGTTCCTCAAGTGGTCATGAACCTGACCTTTACTTCCAGTGGGAGGGACTTTGCTCCCCCAGTCTCCATCCTGCTGTCCATCCATTTGCAAGGTGTGGGAAGAGAGGTTACCATTGCAGACTGAGGCAAAAGAAAAGTTATTGAGTACCTCAGCCTTCTCCTTATCTGTTGTTTCTGGTTTTCCAGCATTTTTTAGGGGTGGGAGTGGATACACCTTCTTTGAACTTCCTTTCTTGGCTTATGTTGATACTTGTTTGAATTGGCTAACCTGGAAATGATAAATTCTTTTTTGTCTGTTAAAATATGATGTGTTTGTTGTGATACTTTTGACCTAAATTGTAAATAGTATCTCCTGTTATTTCTCTGGGATAGTTTTTCCATTTTGTATTGGAAATTATGAGAAGCAGTATGTTGTCTGTATGTATTATTTGTGTTTACTGGACAGACCCTCATGACAGTATCAGCAAACGTTTTAGGGTCAAAGGAACAGAGCACTTCAGTAGTACTGTGATGATCAAGTACACATTATAATTATTTTTTTTCCTTGTGCTACTGTTTTTTTAGAAAGAATCATAAATATAGTGTGTGAGAACTGAAAAGCTGTGAAGGAGTCAGATACTATTTTCACACTGGCGAGATGGAAAGAATGACTGAGACTATTTGACTGAAAAGAAGGTTGCTGGAAAAAGGGACAAAGGTGCAAACTTGGAATGAGAGGATATTTTAAGTGTTGATAATCTGGAATTTTTTGTAGGATACAGATAAAACAAAATTTCCTCTCCAATTTACTGTCAGATACTGATAGCTTAATGTGACTAGTTTTAATTCAATTCTCAAATGGATTTTAGGCTCCTTTTTATAAAGATGTTGTATAGTTGGTCTACAAGGATAAGTAAATGGGTCTACTGAATTATTTGCTGTTCCTTACTATTTTTCAACTCAATCTCCTTTTTAAGGGAGTTTGAATTTCCCTTATCGTATAAAGTTCTCATTTCTGAAGTTTTAAAATATTTCTCTATATGACAAAGCATACACAGGTTGACTGCCATTGAGCTTTATTTGATGGTGGTCTGGGGAAGTGCCAGAAAGAGAATTGACTAAAAAATGAGTATCTGCCATTCAAATTAAGGATTTGTAAAATGGTTTTGTAACCTTGCTCCTTTGCATTTTAGTTCATAATAGTAGTGTCAAAAACACTGTTAGTATTTTCTTAAATTGTGCAGAAAGCAAAAGATAAACACTAGTGTTCTAATCTGTTTTTCAGTGTGTTAGCAATGTATGTAGCTTTCGGATGAAAATGCTAGCGTTGGTTTTTCAGTTCGTTTATATTGTATCTATGCTCAAGGTAGGGGAAACTTTCAAAATAGAAGCCCAAAGCAAGTTTTCAGGGCTGCTTAATAGAGATAGAAAATTATTTCAGTATTTTTCAGAATGTAAATTGTTGATCTGTGGGGGCCTTTTCTTTGTGAATTGTGTGGCTGAATTTACTGTAGTCCAGTTTCAAAAATATTGATAAGATACTGCATAATTTCTGAGTTTACCAATCAACACTTTATTTTCCCCTGTGGATTTTTTTAAGTTCTGGAAGAGTTGTTTGGAAAACATCTGCAAATACGTGATAAACCTATATTTAAAAAAAAATTGGATATTGAATGGAAATGAGATACTAAACCCCCAAACCGTGTATTTTTATTCCTTTTGAGTGTAAGATCATATTCGTTAGTAGGGTGATTGAAGTGCACTTGCAGGTGGTAAACCTTAAAATGATTGATAGGAAAAAGGAAAGTAGAAAATGAGAAAGGCTTGAACTTTTTGTCATCTACATGGCTTGGAAATGACAAAATGTATTGCATAACTGTTTGTGTGGAGAAAATACACTCTGAAAGCAGTGCCAATGGCAGCACTTCACAGAGGTTGTATTTCCCTTGCTCCATAGATTGTAAGAAACAGTGCTTGTAGTTGTTAGTGAAGCAGCTGGTTGCAGTTAGCAATTGATTTATCCCTGTCAAAATAGGTAAGAATTACCTGAGTCACCAGTATAACTCTTTTCTACATACTATGACTCTCTAGGTTCTAACGTGCAGTTACTATACAGTTGTTAAATAGTTTGTGTTCTGCAATTCACCTAGTCTTGTTTTAGTTTCTGTTCTGTCCTCTGGCTTGCACATATGCCAGATAGAAGTGTCTTAAATTACATAGAGGAGGGAGAGTTGTGCTGTTAAAATCTTGTAGAATTAATTATAATTCTCATGCTATCGTGGGAATGTGAAATATTCTCTGCTAGGTGTAGAGCTCTCATAGACATCTTTGTAATATGACAAAATAATTAATACATCTGTGTAGTTTGTCATGAAACAGATCTTCACGTTGCAGTGTTGCAAATGTAAATGCCACTTCATTTTAACCAAAAAGTAAGTTTAAAGCCTGTGACCTTTTTTGCCTGTGACTTTTCAGTTAAATTTCTAGGAGAGGAGTCTTCCTTTGTGCTCACCTTTCAATTTCACTTTGTTTTTAAATTTTCAAATAAGACTCCCTTTATCTTTTAATAATTGGTGAAATATACTTTAGTGTGCATGTTTATTGCTGAATTTAATTTAGTATTTAAGTTATTCTATACAATTTCTTTATAGAAACGATTACAGAAAGAACTATTGGCATTTCAAAATGATCCACCTCCGGGAATGACTCTAGATGAAAAGAGTGTACAAAATTCAATTACACAGTAAGTACATGTCTTATTTCTGCTATGCTGAAAATGTAAGTAAGGGAAGTTCTCTTTATGTCACTTCCACCAATTCCAAGTATCACAAATTTTTGCTTTCAGTCTAGACAATGAAACGTTGCTCTCCTTAATAAGCATATTGCAGTAATGTGTTGGGACACTTTCAGGAACTGGATAGTGATTATTAAATTTTTATTTGGCTTTTTATTGTCTAACAAACTGTCAATTGGTAAAAGCCCCTGCATATTTTAGAACAAAATAATTTAACAGTCTTTCATAGCTACTAACCTCTGAAACCCCTTTAGATTTATTGACATACTGGAGTAGCTGTCTTCAGGTTCTGTGTTATTTGTATAGAATGTATGTCGTAGCTGTTAATTTACATTACCTTCTTTCTCTAAAGCAAGTGAAGGAAAGTTCTTATAAAGCAAAGTTGTCTGGGTACACTTGTTTGTGCTTTTCTCCTTGCCTTAGCTTTTTTTATGATTAGTGAAACGGGAAGAGAAACATGGTAAAATATTCTGTGTCCATTGAAATGGACAGAAGTTGTTCTTGGAACTGACCTGGTTTTTTTTACCGGACTGAAATTTAAAAGATTTAGACTGTTAACATTCCTTTTTCATAATTTTCTTAGCTTAATTTTGGACAAATTTTTAAAATTCAGCAGATGTAAACATTAATGAGAGTGTAGATATCAGGCTATATGTTCTGGACTCAGTTACTGATTGATGGATCAATTTAAAAACAGCATAGAGCTGAATTCTGATGTTTCACATCTGCATTTTTGGTGGCATCACTCAGACCGTGTTACATGAGGCTTTTCTAAACCTTGCATATACTGAATCAAACGCTCGTATTGCTTCTTAAGTGATGCTGGTCTTTGTGGTACTTCGTGTAGATGAGTAAGACAAAAAAAAAATCAAAATAGCAGTTCCCAGAGTTTGGTAGAAATAGTAATAAACTGTTGTAAAAATGCTGAATTGCAGCTTGTGTTTCTTGCTCTACTTCGGGTTTTCAAATTTTCTGCAAAAAGGACTCAATCTAATATTGCAAGTGTTTTTCACTCACTTCAGCAGAAAATGACCATTAAATCAAAGTTCACAGCAGATGGAAAAGGAAAAAAAAAAAATCTGTATTTTTTTTCCTGTTTGTTGATTTTTCTTAGTATGTCTCATTATTATTTCTGTCATGTACATTTTTTATACCTTTCAATTCCTTGCACACTAAAAGCTTCCTGATTACTGTCATGCTAGATTTTGAAACTGTCCCTGTTTTAGAAGCTTCCTGTCACAAGTAACATTCTATTTTTTTCTCTTTGAAGGTTTTTGGTGTCAGCTAGCATGTTCTGAGTTCATTAATGAAGTTGCAGTTTGAACTGGTGCAGTAAAAATTTGTGGAGCAATACTTGTTTGGGTTTTAAAGATGTTGAACAAAATAATTGGATCCCATGATGTAACTGGATCATTTAAAACATTAAGCAAACTTCTATTTTATATACACAAGGATTAGAAATATGAGAAGGCTAAACTGTAAAGCACACAGGAAAGATGGGTTCTAGTGATTCCTTGACCATAAAAGAAAAAGAGTAATGTCCAGGCAGAGTTATCTTCTACTTAGTAAAGTAAACTATTTTAAAAACTTGAAAGTGGAAGTTTTCTGGATCACAAGCAGCAGTAAATCTAAAGAGTATTGGTGTACCATGTGTATAAATGTAAAAGCAGAAGGCATAAGAAGAGATAAGTGGTTTGGAGTGCAGATAGATTAAATTGAAGGCGTCTTCACAAAATAAAAATATGGAATATATGACAGCCATCACTGTGCTACTGTTGAAGTTGCATTCCTCTTGAAGAGTGTGACAGCTAGCAGTTCATTAGATAAGCAGTTTTTCTCAAAAAAATCTCCTGAAGCCCAAAGAATAATAGAGGGGAAGATAAAAAATGTGCATGATTTAAATACACAGGGAGGGTATATATGACAGGAGGATGAAGAGGTTGGGAATATGATCATCAGGGCTGCCAGCTGGAGATGTCAACTTTTCTGAGCACATTGCTGTTCTGCAAAATCTCAGCTGCCTTCCTTGAGTCGATGTAAAACTTGTCTGACCATTTTTGTAGTCTCTTGCTGAATTTTCACCTTATCACGTTGCTCAAATCTGTAAAACTCAATCAAGGGTGAAAAATGAAAATGAGAAAATGATGCTGCAAAGGATCAACGGTAGAACTCTGTAAAATGACAGAAGTTAGCAGAATGTTGCTGAATGTGTTGAACAATATTCAAAGCATCTATTTTTAACTGGATTAAAAAAACTACAACACAACCCAAACCCAGCCACAATAAAAACCCTACACCGAACACCACCTTCTCATTCCAACGGGATGAGGTGCAACAAGGCCAAGGGCCGGGTCCTACACTTTGGCCACAACAACCCCCTGCAGCGCTGCAGGCTGGGGGCAGAGTGGCTGGAGAGCAGCCAGGCAGAAAGGGACCTGGGAGTTTGGATTGACAGGAAGCTGAACGTGAGCCAGCAGTGTGACCAGGTGGCCAAGAAGGCCAATGGCATCCTGGCCTGGATCAGGAACAGTGTGGCCAGCAGGACCAGGGAAGTGATTCTTCCCCTGTACTCAGCACTGGTGAGGCCACACCTGGAGTACTGTGTCCAGTTCTGGGCCTCTCAGTTCAGGAAGGATATTGAGGCGCTGGAGCAGGTCCAGAGAAGAGCAACGAGGCTGGTGAAGGGACTCAAGCACAAGTCCTATGAGGAGAGGCTGAGGGAGCTGGGGTTGTTCAGTCTGGAGAAGAGGAGGCTCAGGGGAGACCTCATCACTCTCTACAACTCCCTGAAAGGAGGTTGTAGCCAGGTGGGGCTTGGTCTCTTCTCCCAGGCAACCAGCAGTAGGACAAGAGGGCATGGTCTTAAGCTGTGCCAGGGGAGGTTTAGGTTACATATTAGAAAGAATTTCTTTACAGAGAGAGTAATCAGACATTGGAATGGGCTGCCCAGAGAGGTGGTGGATTCTCTGTCCCTGGAGGTTTTTAAGATGAGACTGGATGTGGCACTTAGTGCCATGGTCTAGCAGCCGCAGCAGTAGAGGATCACAGGTTGGACTTGATGATCTCGGAGGTCCCTTCCAACCCAGTTGATTCTATGGTTCTCTTCCCCTGGCAACTCCACCTGTCAGTTACTTTCATGTTATTATGATGGAAGGACCAGAAACAGAGGAAAAAGAATAGTGTGATATGCTGAGGTATTATCTCTATTACAGTTGCAAATAATTCTTTTTTTTTATTTTGTTTTGCTTTGCTTTTAATTTTCTGGGACCTTTTCCTTTTTATACTATTAGCTTTTCCAGTTTTGGTTCGTTACCTGCCAGGTACTATTGAATTTCTGAGCTTTTCATAGATAAAAGTACAAGATGAGCTTTGTCCTTTCTCCTTGGATACAGATTTTGTTTTAATAAACTGTACTGATGTTTTCCGTGACAGAAAAGGAAAGAAAAACAACATGAAAGAGAACGTGTACTAGTTTGTTTCCTTCCAAGCCTGTTTTTATGTAGGAATAAGCTTTCAAACAGGTTTTTTATTTCAACTGATGGATCTGTGTTGAGTTCAAGTCATATTTATAATTTGCAGCACTATATCAATGCCTGTATGTAAAATACCAAGCTTGTTTCCTTCAAATGTAGACTTGATGCATTGCTCACCTTTGTGACTGTTACAATGTTAATAACGAATTTAGAAGGTTTGGCTCTGATTTATAGTTGATTTGGTTTGTCCTGTGCTCCAGGAATAAAACCAGAGTTTGTCAGTCCAGAGTACTAACAACTTTTTTCCCTGTTCCTTAGGTGGATTGTAGACATGGAAGGTGCTCCAGGAACACTATATGAAGGGGAGAAATTTCAGCTTTTATTTAAGTTTAGTAGTCGGTATCCTTTTGATTCGCCTCAGGTAACTGCTGCCTTCTTCCTTGCTTAACATTACCTTTGGATTATACCTGTATATTATATCTGTATGACACGTGCTGAGTGTTATATCATCCACATATCCTGATGTGAGGTTTAATTACTTTAATTTGTATTAAATACATTGTGCAGATGCCTTTTCTTTTAAAAATGGTTCTGCAGCGAGGTACAATGCTTTGACAGTCTACCTGATTTCATAGGAGATGAAAGTAGTGTAATCTGGAGGCTTCTCTGAGGTTGATATCCGTATCATGTGAGAGACAAACACAGGGTAAATAGGAAGATCCCCTTTATTGCGATGTAGGAGCCAGGTAAACCACAAATTGCTGCTTTGTCCCATCTCTTCTTGCTTTCAACATATTTTTTTCTAGTTTGTTTTTAAGACTATCGCATCTTCTCTGCTGCCATTATTAATACAGCTGAAGAAATACTGTGCTTCTGATAGGGATTCTCATAGATACATGACGTGTTTGAGAGGCCTGCAAATAGTTTGGTAATTGAGGTATGAGATGCTGCATTGCTTTCATGACAGCCTAAACTGAAGGGACAGCAGAATGTGCTGGGTACATCCATCCCTCTGTCACCTGAGGGAAATGTTTCAAAACAAGGCTGGTAAGAGTAGTCACCCCTTCTTTTCTAAAAAAGGAAGGAGAAAAGGAAGAAAACCTCAGTTCTTGTCCTGTCTGTTTCAGCTCAAAGTTCTAAGAGTGAGCTCTGCAACTTCTCTTATTTGTTGTAAAACTGAAGCGTGGAGCTGTGAGAGACACTTAAACCATAAACATTAAATATTTTTGGGTACCGTGATAAAAACTAGGATGCTGACTTTTCAGTCTTAGGTTTCAAAGAACAAACTGGCCACCTGTACTTCTGCACCTCATCAGGTTTGCAGTGAACTACTCATAGGTGATCCACAAGAGAGTAGCCACTTTAATTTGATTCCAAGTAGGTACTGTTTGTATTCATTACCCAAGCTGTGTGTGTGGCTCTGTGCAATTTATTGTTAAGCATCAAATTAGATCCATACATCTACACTGAATTTTAGCACAGAAAACAATTAAAAATTTAAGTACTGGATATTTGATTGTTGTAGATGGCTAGAATTTCACTTTTTGAAATGCTGCTGTGCAGTAAGGTCATTCTGTGCTATGAACCTCTGGGTCATAATTATCTCTCTGGCAAATCTACTTACTGTGACTTGACAGTTTACACTTCTGCTGCTTAATCACTTGGTTGTTTTCTGCTTTTAAATGTATGTGTCTATCACAGCATGCATGCTTTTACTTACTTAGTATGCCTAATTCTGGTTTTGATGTAAAAGATATTAGTTACAAGTGAAATACATTACTGGATTCTGAAGGTAAACTCTTCAAGGCTTAAGTAAGAGGTTAAAAGACCTATGAAAGATTATTCTGAATCCAGTTTTCTTCTGCCTTAGAAACATGTCTTCTATTTGGCAGATAAATTAAGCTCTCTGATTTCTGTTTCCTATATGATGAGGGTGTTCCTTCTGTCTTGTTGTCAGTGATGAGATGGGTGTGTTGTGTACCTGTTTGCATACTTGTACACGTATCTGTATAACTTAAGAAACACTTAAGAGACTGCTGGGTATTATGGTTATGAGTGGTAGAGATTTATTTTGTCTTTGCCTAAAAGATGACAGTGGTTACGCTGGAAAAGATGTTCAGGAGTTTAATACTGCTATGAAGATCTCACTTTTACTCTATTTCCCTTGGTCCTGAACCAACAATGTGTTCGACAAAATCTTGATGTAAGAGCAATAGTTGTCAAAATTGCTTTTCTAACCTTTTTTTGACTTCCTGTAGTAGAGAGGAGTTAAGGTTCTAAATGCTGTTCTTCCATGTTCATCCACATCAAAAAAAAATATATTCCATTTGAAGTAAAAATTTAAAAGTATTTCCTATTTGGTAACAAACTTTAGTTTCACAAGTCCTTTATTTTATAGTTGATAAGATGGATGCATTTTAATTTTACTCTTGATGCTGGAACCTGGATGAGTTAGCAAGAACTTAATTTCTGTTGTGTCCAAGATTATGGAAATACTCATTTGTGATTCTTCCTTGTGCTTCTTGATGTACAACATTGTGGCTTATAAAATCATTAAAATCCAGTATTTTGACTAGGCAGCTGTATTCCTTAGGACACAAAAGACTGAGGCTGCAAGATATAAAAGGTTTAGTTCATCGGTTTTACATAGTTACCTTTGAGTTTTTCTATGCTGTATAAGTATTCATAGGAAATCTTCTATATCATTTATTCAACTCCATCATCACTAGCTATTTAGGCTTCCATTGTTTATTTTACATTTCATTTAATAGTTTCCAAAAGTGAATAAACCTTATGTGGTAAAGTGTATTATTTAGTGTAAGTGAAAATGTCAGACCTGCTCCTTAAATAAGATTATATTGTTTTCCTAAAAACAATACAGTTTTATTTAAAATGTGGACTATAAGTCTCAGGTATTTTTGTTCTTTTTTTTTAGGTCATGTTTACTGGAGACAATATTCCTGTTCATCCTCATGTTTATAGCAATGGTCATATCTGTTTATCCATTCTAACGGAAGACTGGTCTCCAGCTCTCTCAGTGCAATCTGTTTGTCTTAGCATTATTAGCATGCTTTCCAGCTGCAAAGAAAAGGTATGGGCTTTTTCAGCACTGTTGGAGTAGAAAAAGTATAAGTTAATAGTTTTCGACTTTGCAAAGTGAAATTTTCATTTCTCAGATTCTAAAATAGGCAAAACTACTATATCTACATTTCTACTACTGAAAAAATACTAAGCTAGAACTTCAAAATAAACAGTGCAGTAAATACTTCGTCACTGTTTTCATGGTAACCTGCTTACATATTGGAAAAGAGGAACAAATGGAACCCATCTAGTTCTCCTAACTGAAGTTCAATCATGTTTTAGGACAATTCTATGTAAAATTATCCTGTCTCTAAAGGTGGTGCAGAATGAATTGAAATGTCTTTAGTGCAGATGTTTCTAAGGCTTTGCATCTGTGCTATTTCAGTGATCTTGATAATTTTCATTTTGCCTTTTTTCTGGTGACACTAATACCTTAGACCTTTTGTAAAGAGGCTGCCCTTTTGCTCTTGACCATTTCTTTCGCAGTGGGCTATCTGTGGAAGTTAGATGTGGTCAGAGCTTGTCCATGTGTGCTATCTAAACATGCCTATTTATGTTGCATCCCAGTCAGTCCTAGTCATGTGCATGTAGTTGAAAAAACACTCCAAAATGGCTTTATATTGTATTCTATCCTATGACTTGTTTTGTATAATGATGACACGAAGAAAACTGAAGAATATGAAGTAAGGATTTAGATATAGATGTTAAGGTTTGTTTTTTTCACCCACTCCAAGCTGAGCCTTATGGATGTGAATTGGATCTAATACATGAGAATTAGATTTCAAACTGCAAAGGAATTTAGTTTGGGGATTTTTTGAACAACAGCCATTTCTTTCTTTTGTGTTGTTTTCTTTTCTTTTTTTTTTCTTTAGTTTTATTTCTCCCTCTATTTATTGCCAAACTCTTTGGTATTTTTCATTAATGTTTTTCTTGGAGTATCTCCACTAAGCATTTGTTACCTGGATCTTTAAGAGATTTTTCTTGACAAAGGTCTCGTCCTGCCTGTTATGTCATTTTCACTGCATTCACATGGTAACCTTTCAAAAGCTTATTAAAGAACTCGTGTATTACAATATGAGGATTGTTTGATTATTTGTAGGTCTTTTCTTCTGTTGCAGAGGCGACCTCCAGATAACTCATTTTATGTAAGAACATGTAACAAGAATCCAAAGAAAACAAAATGGTGGTATCATGGTAAGTATTTAACTAGGACCGGGAATTTTTAAGTTCTTTTTAGGCTGAAGGCAGTTAAAATGTAGGAAAGTGGGATAAATGTGTTCAAAGCATTAAAACTCTTTTTAATTTCAGAGAGTTATTAAAATCTTGTTTCTGAGATAATTTGCTGTGATTTTTTTTTATATCTCATTTTAATAATTCCTGGTGAAAATGTAAACTCATATGTTTTAAATTGTAGGATAGAGTTTGAATGAAAGTTTTTGTAGACCGCATTAGTCCATGCCAAGTTTGGGATTGGGGAAGGGACATACTGAAACAAAGTTTAGCTCTAAACCCATTTTTTTTGTTGTTGTTATTAACACTTTAAGAGCTTTTATGGTGTTGAAAAGATACCTATATATTTGTAAGCAGCTGTGTCTTTTAATAGATTTCCACTCTTAATCAGAATTTCCAGTATGGGACAGTTGGCTGACTTTAAAGGCTCCTAAAAACTAATACTCAATAATATAGTAATAAGATTCTCCATGTAAATGATACAGAAAAAAAACCAACCATAACTAAAATTGCTACAGTGTCTGCAGTACTAGTGTTGTGTTGGGGTTTTTTTCTTTGTTCAGTTTTCATTTGGGAGTTTGCTTTTTTATTTTGTTTTGTGGTTTCTTGGGTTTTTTTGCATGTGTTCTCTGTCTTGCTTTATACAATGTGATTTCTTTCTTCTGCCTCATTTTTTGTCATCCTCTACCCAGAGCTGCACTTGGCTGTATGTGCTTGTCTTGTCCACTCCATTGGTGAGAAAAGAGAGAAGGAGGGGGTAGAGATGGGCTGTGCTTTGTTTCTCTTCTAAGCAATGCTTTCTTTATTTTCTCTAGGAAAATTCTGTTCAAGTGGTAGTTATCGGGAGCCCCAGTATTTTGGGAAGGGATGTGTTAGAGCAGGTAATATTGTATGCTAGCATAGTGCAGGAGAGCTGATTCCATCACTTCCTTTCATTGAAGGCTCCATTGTAAGACATCTTCTGTTTTTCACTGCCTCCCCACCCTGGGACATGTTCTGTCCCCTAAGTGAAATGAGAACAGGTTTTTTGAGACAGTGAAAGTTCATGACTGGAGAGGCAAATGCCAAAGCCTTCACCCCTGAAATTCTTAAGATTGTTAAAACCCCATGAATGCCTTAACAAAAAAAACTTGAGTGTTTCATAATACTTGCCAAGACCATGGGGTTTTCATATATGGTAATGTAACAGAATGAAACTCTCTTTCTCATAATACTGTAATAGTATCTCTAAAATAAGGTGACTTCAGGTACATTAAGAGAAGTGCTGTATGCCATGGGATTAAGATGTCTTTGAGAAACTTGGGACTGTTTATCATGTGGTTGTTTTTAAAATTGACTCCAAGAATAATAATCATATTGCCCACAAGGATGGGACTTTTATCTTTGGCAGATTGTACAGCAGTCACTTTCTCTTCTCTCTCTGTTTTCACACTCTTGTAATGCGTTTGGTGCTTCTCCATTTTTAGTTTTGGGAAAGTTTTTGTTAACTTTTTATTTTCACTTGCTAGTTATTTTTAAAAAGAAACAAGTGAAGTTCCATTTATTGTTTATATCTTGTGATTAAAATACATTCTGTCTACTTTTAATTTGTACTAGTCTCATATGGATTTAGAATAGAACTCCATAAAAGGAGAACAGTCTGCAGATATTACTTTGATTTCTTAATCATGAAATTCAATTTGCATTAAGCAAGCAAAACAACAAATTAGTATGAAAAGAAATGTGGTTTCTCTGACTCTGAAGGTTGTGGTATTATTGTGGCTCAAAACCATCAAGGTGCTTATAGTTCACTGAATGAGTAATTTAATCACTATGAAGTTACTATGCAATGGCTTTTTTCAGAATGTTAGAAAACCCTACCCTTCCTCAAATTCAGAGCAACCTAAAAACCAACCTGAGGCAAGAGAAAGCAAGTCAGTTCATTTAAATAACTCATACTGTCTTGCTTCCTGATTAAAAGTTCATTGGGCTCCTCCCCGCCTTAAATTCTTACATGAAAAAATTACACATACCTGATGTCCACTGGACAAAAGTTTCATAAATGCTTGAGTGTTTTCCCTTTGAGTTTTGTGTGTCATTTGCTTCTTCTCTCAGTTACAAGTAATTTTTTTTCTCCTATGTAGACATAGAACAAGACTGCCAAGGCATGATCTTTAAATTGTCAATGTTTTCTTAACGGGTTTGAAGAACTGCTGGGTTACACTAAAATGGGAAGTGTGAAAAGGTGCTTCTGTCATCTTTATTTTCTGCTCACGCTTCAACTGAAATGTCACTTATCTAATCTTGTGGTTGAACCACATTTGGCTGGATAAATGAGGGGAGAAAAAACAATCCCACCCGAGAAAGAAAACCAGCTGTTCAAGGGTAACCACTGGATGAAATTAAATGCTAGTGCTAATGTAAGAACATATGGAGCGAGATGCAAAGTAGTTCTGCCCCTTCTGGTATCACCTAGCCATTGTACTGCTTTAGCTTCAGTGTGATATTGGATCCCTGTGTTTTGAAGTAGGAAGAAATCTGTCATCTGTATTAATACATGCATTTGAAGGAAAATATTTTTTTCCAGTAGGTGCCCAGAATTTATTTACATGGGAGCAAAATAGTGCATGGTTGGGACCTGATGTAAAGCAAACCCATATGAACACAAAGTGATAAAGTGGCACTTTGAGACATATTCTGACATGTAAATATGTGTCTGCATTTAGTTTGTTACAGAGTTTTTTTAATCTCTCATTTCATCCCTGCTTCAACACAGCAACTTATTCCACAAACAGAGTCATGGAGCCCTATTTGCTCCAAAATGATGTCCTCAGAAGCCCTGTTTAAAGCTCCTGATCTTTGATAACTGAAAGTATTTCTGGATTGTCTGCCCTACCCAATGTCTATTTCAACTGTACATTGACTTTCATGTTGAATTTCAATCTGAGAGGTGCTCATATTGTGTTAAAGACAGAGAAGGATCTTCCAGATAAAGTTTACTTGGGCATCTAGACTGAAATTAGTTTCATAAAGCTGTTGCCTGGCTTTGGTCTTGTCAGGAGGTAGATTTTTTTTTTTTTTTGGTGGAAAAAGGGGTATTGGTGTTTATTTTCATCTAGCACTTCCTTACTGCTTTTGGGATGGGGGCTTTGTTTGGTTTTTGTTTTTTCTTAAGTGGAAAGTGTTTTCTCTGGTATTTGTCCTAAAATTTTAGTGCACCATTTAAATACTCATTCTCTCTGTTGCATCCTTGTCCTTTTTTTTTTTTTTACATGTACAGTAGCCTACTATAAAATTGAAAAGGTTTTTTACAAGTAATAATATTGACGACATAATGTTTTCCTGTGAGAATGTAGAATGTTTATAAGGCTACATTTTTTAGGTGTGCGAGGTTACAAGTGCTTTAAAAATAAGCAGACAGTAAGTTTGCTTTCTGTTAACAACTCAGTATTTACTGTTAGCAGGTACAAATATACTGCAGGTTGATATGTGAAGGAGAACGTTTAAAAGGGAGAGCATTCACAGACAAATATTTAATATGGAGCATAATCCAGAAGAGATTTGCATAGAATACACATTTTTGAAATATGTTCTGTCCAATCACAGTATCTGAAATGTAGCATATGTCAGTTATTTTTAGGTTTAAGATTTTAGGATTATAGTAGCAACCTACTATTGTTGCGTAACTCTGTCAGCTATAGTTTTGTGTTGAATCTTGAGAAATAAATGAATATACATGTGTATAAATATATATATAGATAAATATGTTTAAAGGGTTGAGCATACATCAGAAGCAGCCCACTCTGCCTGCTCTTATCCCTATATATTCCTTATAAAAGGATGTCTCAATTCGATAAGTGGTGTGGACCTGCTGTACTTCAAGGATGCAAAATGTTAAGAATATTTGATTTTTCATTTTCTGGGCAAGTGGCTTTCTAAATACTGAGCGTAGAAATGACTGTCCTTTTAATGGAATATTTGCTAATGCTAATATCTTTGGTGGTGTATGTGTATTTCAGAAGTTTGTTTTTTGATAATCTCTTTTTTCCCCCACGTCAGTATTGAACAAAACGATAGAATTATTCAATCAGTGTATTTCCTGTGTTTCCTCTGCATGTTACTGTCTATGCTAGGAATTGTTTCTGCGTATAGCACCTTACTAATTTAGAATTAGAATGTTTATATGTTTTCCATAAATGCTCTTCTTTTATTTTAAAGATGACACATGTTGATGCCACCATTTTGTGATCCTCGTAGCAGAAGATAGTCCTACTGAGAAAATGAGCACTTTGATCATTCAGTCTTTGAACTTTAACCTTTGACTGGAAGTGACCTATAGGCAATGAAGACTACTTCCTTTGACTGCATTTTTACTAGTGTGCATTCTGGGCGCATGTTGATCGCTGGTTCAGTCCATGCAACTGACATGCTTTTATTAGTCATACAGTATTAATGCAGGTGTCCAGAAATGTCAGAATAATTCCATTATTTTTATTTTAAGCTTTTGGAAGAATTCCAGGTCTTCATATATTGTGCAATAACACTGAGCTCCTTGGCGGTTTTGGTGCATCCATTGCCGGCAATGGACATTGTACCAGGGAAAGGTTTTGCTCCTGCCACAAAAAAGATTGACGCATGACAGAGCTTACGAAAGTTTTGGATATATTTGGATTATAAGCAAGGGATTGACAATTACCTTAAATCCAGCCCATTCTTTTATATTTGGATTCTATGCACTGTGACCACAAAACTAGCAGCATGAGTTAACATGCCTAGCTGAAGGACTGTAATAAGATCATTACATATTTATTGAATTGTTTATCTGCTGTCAAATTGTTTTGACATGGGCGGCTTTTCAAGTGACATTGGCAGAGAGGTACAATGTTATCCCTATGGTGAAATAAAACTACTTTTTGTATATAGTTATTCATATCTCTGAAGCAAAGGTATGAGTAATTTAGGGTATGAGTGATTTAAACAAGAATTTATTTTGGAGATAGAGGATGGCAGTGATATAACTGAACTTGCTGCAGTCCGTAATTGGGCTTGTAATTTGTACTTTAGAGCTTTTTCCAAATAGATTGCACACTGTTATTTCCTGCTAGCCATCAGCATGAGCCCTACTGCCTACACCAATATTTCATTTATTTATGTGTTCAAAAGCAATCCATATAACATTTTTTGTTTGCATTCACTGTTTCTTTTGTGTTGTATGTCATGTTTGAATGTTACAAAACAATATTTTGATTGAAAAGCTTTGTCAGAAGATATTTTCATGTAAATTATTTCTTTATCTTGTAAGCATCATCTTGTCTTTTAATCCTGTACTATAAAAAGAAAAAAAAATACATTTTTGACAGAGGCTTAAAGTTTTCACAAAAAAGTGTGGACCTTCTTATTTAAGTTTAGACTAAAGTATATTTTCTTAACTTGCTTGTCCCATGCAGCCATGGCAATTTTTCCGGGCTTTTACTTCACCAAAAAAGGGGAAAAAGCCTAAAATCAGACATTTTTCTGTGGAGCAACATTTATTGAAATGATAGTTGTTCTCAGCACTCTGTAATATTTTGATACTGCAATTAGGTTGTCTTTTTAGGAAGCACTTTTATAAACTTAATACCTTTACACATATGCAAAATTTCTATAATTTTTTTTACTGTTGCCTTATTGTTGCACTCAAAAAGAAATTCAAGCAATTAATGCATGAATGTCTAAATCAAGTAGCTACTTGATGTAAAAACAAACAAAGAAAAGCAAAAAAAATCCCTAAACCCAATCCAGAATGAATTACTACAGTAACAGAAAATTGGCTGAAAAGACTGATTTTTTTTTTTTTAATCTACTGTATGATAACTGACATGTTTTATAGCCTTGTACATACTTCTCTGTTACCTATTGTTTAAAACATTTTAAAAAAAAAGTATAGATGCTAAACTCAGGGTGGATAGAGTTCAGATGGATTTGCTTCAGAGGAGTATTTTGTACAGCAACGGGACTATAGATGCTGGCAGTGAAGTGAGGCTACAATAAACTTCAGGAACTGCTATTTTTTTTCTACTGTACTGAAAATATCTCTTGGCCTTTAAAACTCAATGGTAAAATCTAGCTTTGGATATGAATTTGATGTGTATATATATTTTCACAATGAGCCTTTGAAACATAGAATTCAGTTCATTTTAGAAGCCAAAAAAAAAGTAGTTTTAAACAAATGAAATACTTATGCTCCAACTTTTTGTTTAGCAAAATATTATTGTTGTGAGTTCATCGAACTGGTTATTTTTGGAAACATTTCATATGGAAGAGCAGTAATCTTATACTTAATCTGTATATTCATGTTAACTGCTCTGTATTAATTGAAACAATTGATGCATCTTTGAGAAATTAATGTATGAACGGTTCACATAATGGATCCTATCAAAACAGTCTACGGGAAAGAGACCTTAACGTGACACCAGGTAATGTCTGTAGAAATGGCTCAAGTACATCTCAGATTCAGTTACCTTTTTATATAGTAGCTTGTGAAACTGCAATACATGGTTTCATAGAAGCTTTATGACATACTGTATTGTATTTTGTCAAAGATGGGTGTTGTAGTGCAAAACATTATACGTTTTATTGACCTGTGCTATCACATGAACTATAGTGAAGTTAAATAACCAAATTTATGCTGCTCTTTAATAAACTCTCGCCCCCTATAATATACTTAGATCAAAAAAGTGCAAGGTAGATTAGAAAAGAATGTACCTCAGGTCTTTTAGTTTACAGTAGAAATGCCTCCATTGGTTCTCTTGTAGATCTGTGGGTAAGTTCGCGTATATATAGAGGGCCAAGGCAAAGCCTATATACCACTCAAGCCCTCAAAATAATGCAACTATTCTGACAATGCTATGATGTCCTGAAATAGGGCTTGAATTAATTGAAGGTGCCATCCTTTTCCTAGGGTGACCTTGTGTATGTAACTTTCTTTCACTTGGAATTTCTCACATGAAATGGTTACGGAGTTGGCTTGAAACTATCTTGCTTTTATTTTGTGTCAATATTCATGTTGTTAAACACTTTGTTTTGTGTTTAGTGTCTTTATACTATAACACAATAAATTCTTGTTTTAAAATAGATTACTACCCTTGACTGGAAATACGTGTGGACCTTTTCATGGTGGAGTGCAGAAGCACTGTTCCTTACGTTCAGCCACTCTTGAGACAAAGCTGTCAGTCATTCTAAAATGCTGTGATGTGTATCAGGGGAGGAATTGGGATAACAGCGAGGTATTTCCTCTTTCTCCAGAGGGGATCTCTTGTAACAACTGAAGGAAATAGCTTATTTAAAAAACAATCACTAAGATGTAATGCTTTCATTTCTTACAGATGATCAAATAGTTCCTTATTATTGTTCTTTGGCTGTATGACGAATGCTTCAAATATTATATAGAAAGTTTCAGATGCAGGGTTCTTGTTTGCTTGCAGTGGTGGGAGGAGAGTTTCTATTACTTTGTTAGCATATATCAGGACTGTTGAATTAAACCTCTGCCTCATACCGATAATCGCTTTCAGTTTTGTACAATTTTTTGTTCAAGAGATGATGTCTTCTGTGTTGTAAAAAGCAAAGCACTTTATACCTAAACCGCATATTTTTATGAAAAAATAAGTTTTTAAGATTCATATATCATGTGTTATGAAGATTGCTCTGGATGTTTAATTTTTATTTACTACTTTCTTTGAAAGTCTGACAAACTGTAGTTCACATCTTAGGTTTTAAAGGTACAGTTTAAGGAGACCATAGAGTTTCCATGTCAGTAATTACATATTAAAGAGTAGAGTAAACAAGTGTCTGCCAGGAAAAGTTTAAATATAATTGGTAATAAGACTTTGCAGTCCTGTTCTTGGTAGGTTTTTTTAATATGTAAATATTTATCAAAATAAATGATGTCTTAAAAACAGAAGGGGAAAAAGAAAACTACCTGTGGCTCTCATGTTTCTTAGAACATGTCCTGTTGCTATTAAAAGGTTTGCAATAGTGTAACTATATAACTTCTGGCTATGGGGGAAGCCAGTGTAGTTTTTGCCTCATCTGGCAAAGCAGTTGAGCATTATGTTGTGTTTCCATGCTCACAAATCCTGATCACTCTAAATAGTAGGTTGAATGAACTTTCTTTTAAAACCAGTTACTTTTAATCCATATCACCCAATCCTGTTTGGATTTGCTCTAATACGCAGTGGTACCTGAATAATTAGGTGTTGAACTGGATAAGGGGAATTAAGCTGCCTTAGTGATATTCCATCTTCAGCTGCAGTCACACAGCAGCATGAGAAGAGAGACTTTGGATTTAGTTCATGTGCCAGGTACTTGTTGGCCTGTTGTTTTGAGGACTACTACTAACTTTACAAACCGTCAGGCTTTACAATACCTTTATAAAACACAAGAGTAGAAATATCACGAGCCGCCTTTTACTGTATTGAAATATAATTCAGAAATACAAATTTTGAAAATACTTAACCTCTGCTTTTATTTCATTTTACAGATAATAGCAATGCAGGAAAATCTTCACTTGCCATATTCTTTTTCCTCCAGATTTTATGTACTTTTTGAAATAGTGTCTGAGGGATTTTGAACAGTTGATTCACTGTAACAAATTCTCTCTGGAGCTACTTAAAGTGAAGTTTTTTTAAATTACAAAGGAAGAGCATTTCAGTAACACTGTAGTTCCAAAGTAACTGCTTTCATGAAGTGGCTTCCTTAGAAACCTGTGTAAGTTTCATTCAGATATTAATTTTTGTATTTATGAAACAAAAAATAAATGCAAAATCCAATTGATAATGCAGTGTGTATCAGTGTAGAGATCAGATTTATAAGCCTGTGTCCACAGTCTCTTTAGTATAATACTCCATAGGAGCTCTTAAGGTGTGAGTCAGTGGTAGTAGGTTAGATTGTGTTTAACCCCCTTCAGTTTACCTGGGTGATTTGCAGTGCAACTTTGTCTTTTGAAGTGACATTTTTCGCTTGACTTCTGCTAGTGAAGGAGCTGCTTACAGGAGACACTTCTGGAAAAGGAATCCAGTGAATAACTGAAAACCATCATGATGGCCTCAAAGAAAGATGTTACAATCTGAAATCCTATAACACTGGCCACAGTTCTTTCCCTCATGCTGGCCTGTCTTTTGTTATTTAAAATTTCCATGATAAGACCTTAAAACTTTTGTCTTCAGCAGTGGGAACCTGTTTTCTTGAAGCCCTTTGAAGTGCTTTGTGCAAAGCAGTCCAAGTTAAATCTGTTCAGATACACATTCTGGGCCTTTTCTCTTCCCAGGACCACAACATTATCTGGATGCTGCTAATGAGGTTCTCAGGGGCATTTTATCCTAAAGATAAAATTAAGCATGGTTCCTGTTGTTACAAGAGAAGGAGGAATTTGTATTCCTTCCTTTCCAGTCTAATGATTTACATTCCTACCTTGCATCTAGCTTTATTGCCAAGTCTGCACTGAGATGATCTAGCCTGTTAAACCAGTAGAAAACTGATTTCAAAAAAGTGAAATTTTTTCTTCTGAATTAACAAGCTGAATCAGCTTGCTGCATAATCAAGAGTTTCAGAGCTAGTGTAAAAAATGGAAAGGACTGTGCAGCTGGGGTTTGGGAGGTGATGGCTGAAACGTGATTTGTATCTTTAGGCTTTTCTGCATAATGTACTAGAAACCTTGTGTTACGCAGAAGGTGAGTTATGTGCTATGAGAAGCCTGAGCTGGAGGTCTGGACTGCCTATAACAGCCTGTGACGGGGGACTCTCCTGTCTGTTTTAACTGTTTTCTAGTAAAAATTCTGAAGTTGTTTCAAAGCCTTCCAGTGATCTGTTACATCTCTGTTTAGATGCCTTGAGTTTTTGTACCCAGGAACAGGTTGGCTTTTTGCATTTGTTTGGTTTTTTGTTTGTTTTGTTTTGTTTTGTTTTCAAAGTAGTAAGTCTTCTGGCATTGCTCTGTTAGGATATTTTTAGTAAGGTTTTTATCAGACCAATGTTGTCAAGCCTGAATCAGAGTTACAGATTCAGTGAAGCTGCTCAGAAAATGGCCAGTTATTTTTCAAAAGGAAGGCATTCCTGTTACGAATCAAATGTCCTGGAGCTTAGATAGAAAGCCAAATGTAGTTATAGTCATCATCTAATACAGAAAACACTTGAGACTCAAGTCTCGGCTACAGATCTCATTTGTCTGTTGTATTCTATGATTTGCACTGTGGTAGGAGGTTTTCAAAGCAAAACCACACTGTTAGTCGTCTCATCCCTTCCCCTGAAGGTCTTGTTCAAGGGATGGATGAAATCCTGGTGGGTTTGATCTTAATGTATTATTTTTACTGGCTCGGTGAAAAGTGTGTGACAGCTGTCATTCTGACCGGTGATGAAGTGTGAATAGCTCTTGAGTCTCTTTCTTATTCTCTACTGTCCATATGTCTGAAGAAAACATTGGTAGCTGTGCTTCATATGCGCCGAATAAAGTACATATTTGTTTATTGGGTGTAGACAATTTTTTCAAGATTAGAACTCTGGGAGAAGCAGTACAGGAAGTATACATAACTAAGTAAACAAGTGACAAAGACAGATAAATTATAATATCTCCAGATGCTACAGAGTATATCAAGCCTAAGGTTTTGAGTTTATGGGAAATGGGATGGAAGGAGAAATTGGGGGCAGTCACACTGATGTATTCTGTATCGTGCTGGGTTTTGGACTATAACTCTTTTAATCTTTTATGTATCTGCGCATTGTCATCTGCCCCAAGCAGTAACTGTCTTAAGGATTATGCTGGAATAATAGATGACTTCGGGTTCCTTAAATAATAATTCAGTCGTTGGGAATGATCTTTCAAACACTCCTGCAAATTCTGTTGACCGACACAATGAGGATACCATATGGAAATAAGCTATGCTCACAAAGTAGGGTGGGAGGGAGAACAACTAGTTCTTGGAAGTTAAGTTTGATAGCATCCTGAATATTCTCAGTGAATTGGTGGCTGGTGGCATGGTGCTTTTGGGTTTGTGTGGCTTTAGGATTTCAGGTTTGGGCCTTTTTTTTAAGAGGACATCACTAATTGCACCAATCTATAATTCTTATGTTAAGAAGTTCTTCAAAGTTGGAAGAGGGCAAATGCAGTGCAACTATGGTCATGATGCAACTGAAAGATCAAGGTCCTGTATGAAAACTGGTATCATTTTGTTGGGACGTGCTATAGTAAGAAAAACCACTGGTCCTATCAAACTTTAAAAACTCAGAGGATGGATAACCCTCTCCAGAAACTGAAGTAATAGGTTTCTTTTTGCCATTGCAAATTTTTTCAGAAACCCTAGTTAACTGATCAAAGTGGCCCTCATACTGTACCTGACAAGAAATTTTGAAGTTTTGCAAATGAGAAACAGATTGGATATAGTACTTTGCTATGTGATTTTGTAATTTGGAAAATTCTTTCTGTTAATTTCCTTTCTTTAGTCTGTAGGAATAGACCAAATCATACCTGGACAGTACTCACATCTTCCTGTTATCTCAGGTACTATTGGGGAATGCTCTGTAGAAAAGCTTGTAATTCTTTTCCCTAAAAGCTTCTCTGGATTGGTCCTACACTCATCTGAATACATCATCTACTTCTTTTTGTTTCCTATCAGCTGCTTTGTAATGTTGGGGGTTTTTTAACTCATTTCTCTGCGACACTTTCTGAAAGTGAACATTATAAAGACTTACTGTTTGGATGTTGATATGAAATGTCATTTCATCCAGAAGGCACTTTTCCTTACATTAGTGACTGCAGCATGCAATATAGTAAGGCCTAGGTTTTCCTGAATGATTTCTGAAATGTAAATCCATCTGAACTTTTTATCCAGTATTGGATGTACCTGGGTAAGGATTACAAGAATTGTCTTGTGCCAGGCAGCCCAGTCTTGCAGCATCTGTGCACCCAAAGTTTAATGTCTCATGGTTCTCTTTGGAGTAAAGCAATGATCTAATTGGAAAATTTGTGATCTCTGTATAAGCCAGTTCCATACTGTTTTGTGGTGAGATGGCTTTCTGTGTATTTCAAGGCCCTGTATTAATGCACTGTACTTGATTTAGAGTAATGCATCCTGTCACTGTTACGAGTTTGTCACATGGTAAAGCATTTACTTAATTCTTTTTTATACTTACAAAGCATTATGGCAGGATTTGACCTCTGAAAGGAGTCCTGCTGCATGGTCTGCACCACAGAACACTGCTTCTTTCTGTCATAGATCTTTATTTCTTGGTTTTGGTCTTCACAGTAGTTCTGTGTACATACTAAAGACGGGTAATAAATCTTGCTTAGGCCATGCATTAATCTGGATTGATTTTAGTGTGTATCAATCTTTGTATGTATGTTATCGTTATACCTTACTTGACACAGTATCAAGGACCTTATAAGTTACAGCTTTTCATTTGAAAGAGCAGGTTCCCATCAATGTTTAGGTTTTCATTTGTTGTGGTTTTTAAAAGTAAAGAATGCATTAAAAATAATCTGGATACAACAAAGTGAGAATTTGCTAGCTTTTGCCTGGAAGTAGAAACTTACAGGCTACCTCCTTCCAGATTTGGAATTTATTGTCTAAAGTGTTCTTTCTGTTGACTGTAGTGAAGTGTAGAGGAAACTGATTTGAAAGTCTTGGGGCAGTTTTATCTATCTGTGAAGATGCAGTGCCTTGTAGATTGCTTGTGTTTTGTCCTAATAGGCTTTGAATAATAGAAACATTTTCAGACATGGTGATGTTTCCCTAATTTCTGTGAAGGCCTGTGGGCTCTGCACTTGTTTAAACTTTCAGAGAAATGCAGAAATGTACAGATCTGCCATATAACTTCCATTTTTAAGCATTTTTATTTGCTGTTCCAGGTAGTAGATTAGTGTTAATTTAATGATAGAATAGTACAAAACTTCTCAAATTATGTAGGAGTTTACTCTTGCTTAAATTGTCAAATTCAGCAACATCGAACCATTGTAAAACTGATGTTTTTGGTAAATTATTGGATGGGTGGGAAATGTCTGGCTCAATGATGTGCTATACAGCAACATTTTAGTCAAAATATCCAGTTAGGGCATTTGTGCAAATTCTCAAAACATCCTAGATTTCCTATAGCTTCCAATAGCACATAATGGCAAACTGATGATTTGGTGACAATGCAGGGTAAGGTTGGTGGTTTTTATTTCATTAATGGAAAACATTGCACTGACTGTTCCTTAAAAAAGAATTAATTATAAAGTTAGAACTGCTGCAGATCTTAATGCCTACTGAATTACACCTTCATATAGCAATAGAATTTAGTCCAGCTATTTTCGTTGGGTTACGTACATGATGGTATTTGTGCTTAATTACAGCTAGTAAAATTACTAGCTGTCAGCAATAATTTTGTCAGCAGACCCAAAAAACTTTACTGAGGGATGGGTTCTTAATTTAGGCAGGATTGTGAAATGATGTGAAGCCAGCTTTAACCAACTTCATCTAATATAAATATGATTTGTCTCGCTCTCGGAATACATTGTTACACTATTAGTTCACTGCTTTCCTCTGAAAAAGTTGCAGTGCTGGTTGCTATAACATACATAATATACGGCAAATTTCTTACATGGTAAACTCTCATAGAAATGTCTACTTTGTAGGTGAAACTAAGTATACTTAAATTGCATTTGATGTAGGTGTGACACGCATAGATCCTGTATTTTCAGCAAATGTAATACCTGCTGTTTACTCAGTTACACTTCACATTTTCTGAAGCTGTGTTGCTGCAGTCCCTGGAAGTAGCGCAAATGTATTTGCTTTAAGAGCCATCAGTTAGAAAATGGGGCAGACTGAGAATGAAGCCAGTGTGTGCTGGCGGGAGATAGTACTAATGGCAAATTGCAGGCATCAGTAATCCTCTAAAAATAAACATCATTTGAGTGACAATGCTGCCAGTTGTCCTTGCTTTTAGTATTTCCATTCATGAGATTCTATACTTAGGAACATGTGTAGGCAATGCTTTATTATTGTTCCTATTGACTACGATAAGTCCTTTATGTCATTTACTGAGTCATGTTTGTAGTACTAGCAACTTCTGAACTTTTTTTTTCTGGGGCTGGAGGAGGGGGAACCCTTTATCTGTATGAATGCTGGGTACAGACAATTTCTCTTTTCTGCTCTTGCAGTTGGACTTCATGTAGATCTAAGGTAGTTCTTGTTCCAAGAGAATAATAATTTAAAAATTACTAATTTAATATAGTTTTAATTTACTGTATAAATTAATAATCATGTTCAATTTCTGTAAGTAATTTTTTTACTTCTACAAAATGGTAGAAATACAAATCCTTTTCCTCTTGTTGCGGAGTTGTTCCACTGTCCTGCAATAAAAGGTATTTAGCAGTGTAAATGGGTGGGAAGCAAACAAACTATGCAGAATGCAAAGCATTTTTCTACTGACTGAATTCTCTTTGAACTAGTTGTGTCCTTTTATCTCTTTATCTGTGTCAGGTAAATCTAATGTCACCATAAGAATGTGTTTGGTGATGATTGAAATACTTAATTTTCATGTCCAAAATTTGCCTTAATTTACTTGAAGATATAAAAGGCCTAATCCCTACTTTCTCTGAGACCTAATCTGTTACAGTGTGCTACTGGTAAGGTTGTCGATAGGTATGGTTAGGTACAGTCTCTCACCAGGATGACTGTGCCAATAAATATAACTAGTATTGATACCAATTCACAGACTGGTGATATTACTGGTGTCACTTTGGTTGTGTTTGAAGTGCTGCTGTAATGTGTGCCTGAACTGAAAGGTACTAATGAGAATCCAAAGCACTTCAGAATGGGCATGATCTTCTCATGCAACACTGTCAGTAAAAATAGCATCATGTTTGGACTTGTTCGAAGGCCTTTTTATGTAGTCAGAATGCTATCAGTAAAACAAAACCCCCAAGACCCACAGGGTTGTAAACAGGAATTTAATCTTATAGAATCTGTTGCTGCTTTGGCCTGTAATAACTCTTTGGCTTTCCCATAGTTCTCGCCTGAGCAAAGCCAGTGTAGTCTCATCGAGTAGCAATGCTTAGTAATGCAGAAATGGGCCATTCCTAAATGAGTGTGTGCTTTGTAATGGAAAACTGATACACTGATCTTCAGGTTGCTAATTCTGGTATTATTTTTGCTGATTTATCAAACTGTAGTTACATTTGTCTTCATTGCTGTAGTCATGAGATGTGAAGCCCTGGTTGACCTGAGTTATCTTGGTTTTCTTCTAACATTCTATGCTGTGTTTTACAGAAGTAATACAAATCTCGTAGTTTCTATTTATTTATTTAAATCAGGAAACCACTAAGGATATATGAGAGGATGTTCATAATACACGATGAACTTTTATTGACTATCTGTGCATATACACACACAAATTTATGTAGTTATTATGCGTATTAACTAGGTATGTATAAATACGCATCGTTAGATTTTCTAGAATTGTGAGAAGGTGAGGTGAGTGTACAGAAAGTTTTTACAGTACCTTGTGTTGAAAATAAATGGAAAATTATGGAAATAACTGTCACAAAAGAAATGTGCAAATTAGAACTAGAGACTTAATGCTAGCTTTTCTGCAGTTTTGGATACATGAACTACAATAATGAGTGATGTGGGGTTTCCTGAATGTGTTATACAACTCGTAATATTTCCTATAAAATAATTTACCAGTATAGTTTTAAAATTTCTCTAGCATTATTAAAAGGGTAAAGCAAAGCCTTTATTTACACAAGGATTTACTATTCCTAGCACTGCTGTATGAGAGCAATGTGAGCAAATAATTACTGGGAAATATAATGCTACCTGCAAAGCAATCTGAATTTGGGCCAGTGGGTCAACTAATGAAGAAACAGCATTGGTACCTTGATGATAAGAGACCTAGATGTAAGCTGGTGATTGCAAAATCAGCACATCGCTTTGGTTGGATTCACTTTGGTGTGTTCTAAAAAAATTATACTTGCTAAGGGAAATAAGGACATAGAGGTTGTACAATGTCCTTATACCATCAGTGATGGAAAAAGTTGAATATATGCTGACAAGTGCAAGTTCTAGTTCACTTTATTTAGATTCTTGAAGTGATTGTGTGATTCATCTAATTTAGGGAACTTGCATTTTAGACATGAATCATGAAAGATAGCGTGTTAACGTCAGTTGTTAAAATTCATTGCTCATGAGTCTTCACTGGAGCATAAGGAATAAATGGTTTCCGTTACCTGAGAAAACTCTGCATGGTATTTACCCGTAGTTTGTTTTATCTTGGTTTGTTCGTGCCTCTCAGTCCTTGTACTATCTAGTGATAAATTGTTCTAGGCACTTGTATGACATGCAATCTAGTCAAAAATCTACTTTCATAGTCACAGTTCTGCACCTGTTATTGCAGAGAGGCGTGACCTGACTAGACTTAGGCTTGTTAATAATATTGGGTGTTAATCAAATATAATCCCAAACTCCTGGCTTTTACTTTTCTAATATGTTTTAATTACTGGAAAAATGTTATTTAAAATATTATTTAAAAAATTATTTCTTCTGGTATTAAGCTGTTAGAGGCTTTTATTCAGTTGAATGACTAACTAATGTAAAAAATATATTGTTTGCTCCCTGTTGGTGTATTATGAGCACTCTATTAGCTTAATTACGCTTTTAAATTTAGTATCAAAATATCATCCAAGTTCTTTAATATATAAAAAGTACAGCTACAAAGAAACTGTCAAACCCTGGAGCAGGGTTCTGGAAGAGGCTGTAAAATCTCCGCTCTTGGAAATTTTCAAAAGGAAACCAAGCAACCTGTGAACTCCAAAGTCAGATCTAGCTTTAATGTTGGTCCTAGTTTGAGGGGGCAAGGAGGGTGGTAGAGCAGAACTTCAGAGGTTCTTTCCAACCAGCAGTTCTGTCTGGACATTTTCTTTGGGCATTTATTTTTGCTTGGTTTGGTTTGTTGCACCAAAGTGTATTGAGGGGTGGAAAGTAATTTCTTGATGACTTTCTATAATTACAATTCTAATAATAAAATATATCAGTAAAAACTAAAATATTTTGATTTTTGCAAGTCAGTGTGAAAGTGCCAATTTATTTTGTTATGAATCTGAGATTAGAAATGACAAGGCCTAGTGTCTTGAAGTGTCCTGCACTCGTGTATAGAGACCAAATGGAATTACTCTGTATCCTTTCCCTCACTTAGGTATTTGTGCAGGCATTTAGGCATTACTGTGGCTTTTTGTTGTTTTCAAACTGCATACTGAATTAATCACTCCTATTAACAACTTGCATACTGAAACTGGATTGTTGGGCAAGTCATGACACTCCTGGTGTGTACTAATGGAGTAGAGTGAATGAGTATATACAAACTATGCATCTTGTTTGCAAAAATGAGAAGGTTTTAGGTTGTAATAAGCTGCTTTTACTGGAGGTACTGACTAGCCTTTATCCTGTGTCTCAGCAGTAGCAGAAAAAAACCCAAACATAAAGGTACAGTAAATCTAAAGAAGTTATTAGTAATGTAATTAAATTGTTCATATATGTAAAGCTCCAATTTTACTGGAAACATTAAAAAAGCTGAATACATGAACTTAAAATTATTGTAAAATATCCTTTCTTTTATAAAATATACATATATGGTAAATTTGGGGATAAAATTTGCTCTTTTGTATTCAGTTTTGTTTCAGCTATATTCCATTTGCACCACAAAATGTATATCAAGATACAAGACTTTTCTGAGTTGATACCTGTATCTCAAGATACATTTTTAAACTAAGCCTTTAGTTGTGTAGCAATAGCGATATTATAAAAATTTTAGGTATTGAAATAACAGAACAGATCGGAGATTTTGTAGGCTTGTTGGAATTACATCTGTCTCTGCAGAAAGTTCAGAAAACCTCCCTTGTAACCTGATGCTGACATTCATTGGATGCATTTTTCTGCTGGGTACATGCATGCTAAGTGTATGTTATACTATATGGTTGTTCTTCAAACTACTAATAGTAGTTAAAATAAAAATTTTAAGACATAAAATTAAAAAGGAAAAAAACCCCAAGAACAAACAAAAAACCCTACAGACTTATGGAAGCACCATCATGATTCAGCACCCGAATGAACTTTACTCACACAAAATTTCATAGTAGCCTAATGAAAAGTACTTGCATTATTATCCATTGCTACATTGTGTCACTATATTATATCAGAAGAATACATGAGAAATTGTATTATACTGTATACTTCTGTCCTCAGTTCTTAAATTAATTAAGGGGTAAGGAATCTCAGAAACAGAAAACAAAACAGTGGAGGAATGAGAAGGGGAGGATGACGAACTGCTGCTGCTGAATACAGGGTATGTATAAAACTCTTAGCAAATGCTGAATTCCCAAAGTGTGTTTAAACAAGTTGTAAATGTTAGTGTTCTGTGAATAAAACCTTGCTATCACTTAGATACTCACAATACGGCTCTGCCACTATCATTATATGTTTTTGGTGTTGTAAATTACCTATAATATGCAAGCTTACTACCAAAATTCACCTCGGCTATGTGCCTACACCATGCTTGGGAATCCTGTCAGACGACATCTTTTTCTTTTTTTGCTCAGTACTGATCCACCTCTTGATGTGAAGTCATGATTAAAAAAAAATTTTCTCACGGAATAACAGATACTGGAGGAAATATGAACTCTGGATTCATTCTGATTCAACCTGACTTATCTGTTGGGTTTTTTTAAAATTACATTTGCTATGACTAATGTTATGAGCTATCATTAAAACCTAGTTGCACAGTAAAAAGATATAGGCGTCTTTCTCCCCCCAGAAAATCTGCTTTTGTTTCTAAGCCTGAGGAACTTTGTTACTGCAGTCTAGCAAATCAGGTAGGATTTGTAGGAAGATCATTGCTTCAAGTTCTGATGCTTCTACAAAAAAAAAATTAGATTGTGGATTAAACTCAGAAATCTTTTATCAATGAACAATAAAATGATTACTTTGAGATAAAGAATTTGAATGTTATCTTTTTCATGATATAGTCAGAAATTAATTTCTATTTACTCCCCCTCTTTTTTTCCTCTATTAATTTCTAATTTAAAGGAAGAAACTCTTCAGACTTTAATCTCAATTTTACATAAGCACTTTTTCATTTCTGCCTTTTTTCATTTTTCTATCTAGGTCTACCTTTTGTAAGGGATATTCAAACCTGAAACATGGCAACAAGATAAATATTTTTATGATGGCGGAACCATAGGACTGTTATTGGAAGGGCATGGAAGTAGGGCTGTACAAAAAATGCAGCAAGTTACCCAGGACTTTATTTAGCTGAGCCCTGACAGTGTCCAAGGTGGGAGGTTTTATGCCCAGCTGGGGAGGGAGGTTTCAGTGATGCACCCTGGAATCTACATGGCTGAACCTCCACAGCTGCAATCCCTGGCCCTCTTTCCTGCAGCCTCCCTCCAGGCAGCTGTAAGGTAGCGCCCAGCAACTGCATCAATCTTCCCCTTCAGAAACATGATTTGCCCTAATTCAAGACAGAAAAAAAATTTGACATGAATCATGCTTATGAGTTTTTGCCATCCTTTGAAAACAGCTGTCTCGGAGGGGAAAGGAGGTGAGAGGGGAAGGACGTTGGAGAGTTAAGTGGTCCAAGCTAGAGCGAGACGAGTAACACCAGCTCGGAGAAATAAAACCAGGCCCATTCTCTGTTGTGCTGTGTTGTTTTCCCCCGCTCTCCCTGTATTACTGCAAGCCATTATTTTCCTTTCCCTGGCGTTAAGCCTCGCTCCCCGTTCCGCTCCCCACGGCCCGATTCGTGCGCGGCGCTGGGAGAGGCCGCCAGGGGGCAGCGCCGGAGCGGCTCGGCGAGCTCAGCCGAGCTCAGCCCCGTTCTCAGCCCAGCACGGCCCCCACCGCTGCGCCCCGGCCGGGTCGGGGCTGCCTCCTGCGGCAGTGCCGAGGCCTCGCCGTGCGGTGGAGCCCGGCCCGGCCCGGCCCGGCCCGCCGGGGGAAGGTGAGCGGGGGCGCCGCGGGCCCCGCCGGGGCCGGGGGCGGGCGGGCGCAGTTCCCGGCGCCGCCGCGGGGGGCGCTGCGCGCCGCCGGCCGGGCCGGGCGGCGGACGGGGCCATTCGCGCGGCGGGCGCGGGGGGAGCGCGGCGCGGGGAGCGCTCCGGGAGCGGCCCGGGGGCAGCGGCCGCGGCGGGGGCGGTGGCGGGAGGGGGCAGGGGGGGCGGCGGGGCCGACGCGCGGCGCGGGGGCGGCGGGGCGGGGCGGCGGCGCCGGCGGGAGGGCGGGGGGGGCGCAGTGGTTGGGGCCGGCGGCGGCCGCCGCGGCGGCGGGGTCAGTTCTCTTTGGTGTTTGCCGATGTTGGAGGCGTCTCCAAAGTGTCCCCGGGAAGCAGGTAACCGGGCGGGAGGGGAGGGAGCGGCTTTGGTCGCGATGTCCGAGTGCCCGTCCCGCCTGCTCTCTCCTCCCGCTGGCACGGCGGCTCCCGGGCGAGGACTCCGCCGGCCCCCGGCGCCCCCCGCCTCCCCGGGGCCGTGCAGGCGCTGCTGCGCCACGGCGCTGCCGGCCCGCTCCGCTCGGCCGGGGGGCGGTGGCACCGGCCCCGCCATCCGCCCCGGGGCCCCCGCCCGCCCCCAGCCGCCCGCTGAGGGGCGGAGGAGGCGGGCTGGGGCACAGGTGGGCAGCGCCGCCGCTCCGGGGGCGGCGGGGGAGCCCCCGCTGGAGCCCCTCGGCAGCTCCGCGTTCCCGGTCCGGTGCCGCCGGCGGCCGTTGCGCCAGGGCCGGGCCGCGGCCGGGCCGTGCGGCGGGGCCGGGCTCGGCGGGACCGCGCCGGGCCTGCCCTGCCCCAGACCCCAGAGAGGAGTTCTGTGCCACCCGAACTTGCTCCTCGTCCCCTGGCCCGCCCGGCCCGGTGCGCCGGGGGCGCGGGGTGGCCGCTCCGCCGCCGGCGGGGCGAGGGGCGCCGTGTGCCGTTCGCCCGGTCAGCGGCGCGGACCTCGCAGCTCGGCCGGTGTGTGTTTGTACGTGTGTGTTAGTCAGTCCTCACTTCGCACATCTTGCGCTGCCCCCAAACTTCGGACAGGGCCCTAAACTTTGCCATCAGTGCTGGGCTCTCCCACTCCCAAAATGGATGTCGGCATCACTCCCAAGCAATGGGCAGCGGAGCAGTTTGCCGGCCTTTGCCCGGCACGAGGGTTGCGAGGCCGTCGTTGAGATGGGTTCCAATGAAGGTGCCTAGTCCAGTCTTCTCAGGAGCTTGGTGGCGTTTTCCCACTGTTCAGGTGTCTCTGGTGGAAAAAAGTTCATCTTGATCACTGCCGGGCCTGGAAGTCGCAGCCTTGCCCTCCTGGGAAAGTGTGGGCTGCTTGGGGTGAGCTGTGAGGGCAAATCCTGCAGTGAAGCTGTTTGCCTTGTAGTGCTCAGGGGCCCACCCAAGTCAGTGATACCTAAGCAAAAAATTTCCCACATTGTATCTGCCCAGTGTTACCTTACGGACAGCAAGCTCTTTCTGTGAATACCAAGATGTAAGCTTCTCGAGCCATGCTTGGAATGCTCCCTGTGCAACTACCATAGTACTAAAAAAAAGTTTAGGATGTACAAGAGAGTAGATAAAGTGTTGCTGTTGTAACCCCACTCTTTGCATGAAATACTGTCTTGAACAGTACTGAAGGATGTGCATGAGTAACTACAGTGTTGCAAGACACAAGTAAGGCTGTTTGCTCTGCAAAGTTGCATTGCACTTCTGTTAGCGAGCATACATTGCTGTATCTTGCTTACGTTACTAGTGGCATCAAACTGCACAGGACTAAGGTCTTCCTGGGCTGTGTGGTAATTCCAGCTTAGCAGTCTACACCAGCGTAGTAATGTTAAGGTATTTAAATAATTTGCTAACTACAGGGAGGTTCTATACAGGCTTTGTTGTGACATTGCTGCCTATGTAAACAGTGCCAGGCTGACGGATTTCTGAATGAAATCTTCTTTTTTTCTAGAAAGTCAGCAGCAGTGCATGATTTCCAGTACTGATTTCCAGCCACTGAACCTTAGCTTTGACCTAGAAAAACTCTCTGAGAGAGATATTCCTCCTCTTGCCTTTGTGAAGATTCCTATTGCTGCCAACTAGGAACAGGATTGAGACTGCCTGCTTGCTCATAGTTTATGAGGAGAAGGGACAATTCAGATTTTCTTTTCTTTGCAGACTATTTTTCAACAATGTTGTTCAGCTTTAGCAGAAGTCATCCAGTTTGGATTCTGCTCAGGCTGTAGTTTGGCGATGAAAGTCTTTATATATCTTGTTGCCAGCTTAAACTACTTCGTCCCACCAAGAATTATGTCAAAATAATAAATTTGAATAATCTTACATCCTGAATTATGATAGTAGATTATAAAGAAAATTTCTAATTTTACTTGCAGGAAAATCTGATCAGAGGTGTTTTAATGACTGGAGCAAGTTTAAATGAGCGTTTAACTCAGTCAGTTACTTCCTTGGGGACAGAAATCAGGCTTGATTTTCCTACACAGGTTTATAAAGTGAATTCCACCGTAACCCTGTTTTACATTATTGTGACTGTGGGAAGTGAATCAAATACTAGATGTTTTATTTGTCAAGTGTCATGAAAAATGACCTTGGGAAGGTTAGGGAACAGGCTGTAGTGAAGCAGATCCTCTGATTCCAAGACTGCGTCTTTAGCCATTAGGAAAGGTGCACCTGTCATGCTCTATCCAGACAGTTTGTTTTGACCTACCCGAAATATGTGGCTATTGACTTGTCAGTCTTTGAAAACACTGGGAAACTCTCATCAGTTATGTCCAGTTCTGCATCCCAAAATATATCTTCTTGTGATATCATCCCATTGGAGAGCTGGCCCTATAAAGTAGGCAGTTTTAGTGCCATTTTCTTTTGTGTATATTTGATAGATACATGAACATGGATCTTCTTCCATTGGAGTGCAAAGTATCTGCTTCCTCATGTGGGTCTCACTGATGTGGTGGGGAAGGACCTAACTGCATCTTTTTAGGGTAACTGAAACACCATAACTTCTGTTAATGAACCACCAGAGCTTCACTTTTCCTTCCCCTGCTTACATTGATTTCTTGTCAGCAACAGCAAGATCTATAGGAAAAGTGTTAGGCCTGTCTTTTGCCAGAACCAATTATTTTGCATTTCTAATCTTTGGATCATACATAGGCTGTAATTTTCACAATAGTTCTTGAATTTTCTCTCTCTTCTGAAAAAAAAAGAAAAAAAGTGGGGAGTACCATTTGGTTGAGGCGCCTAAAGAGCACAAGGCAGGTCAGGGAATGGGGCTGGCAGTTTTGCTCAGGAAGGAGAGGCTATATGGTGCAAGGGGGGGAATAGAATTAGTGGGAGTGCAGGATAAACTCTGTGAAGAGAGGAAACGGAACCTGTGTATAGTGTAGTTCATACATATATATATATATATTAAAAGTCAAGGGCTCTATATTTAGGGGGTCTGCTCATTGTCAGCACTGAGTCACGATCAGTGTTATCCAAAGTATGTTTGCATTGAAAGATCAAGAGTTCAGTAAGAATCTGAGAGATGTCTTGTCAGGCGTTGTTCTGGAAACTATTTAGAATAAAAAAAATGCTTGTCACAAATCCTAATGTAAAAATGAATTTTGAAAAGCCATCTGTGGTAGTGTAATACTAGAGTCACATCCATGTCTGTAGGTGCTAAAGTTTGTTCATACTTCACCTCAACAGAAAGTGTTTTGTGTCTTGGGTTTTGTTTTGTGTGTCTTTTTTGTTAAGCTGGTAGTTTTTGTAAAGTTTCCTAGAGATAAAATGTGTACTCCATGGTCACAGTGTGGTCACCTGTGTCATACTGCATCTTTTCATTTGCTTTAGTTAACTATACATCTGTATAGTATATCACTAGAATGTTACAAATTTTTTGATATTTAACCAAATAAAATCAAATTATGAAATTTAATTTTTTTCCTGGTAAAGAGCACTTTTTTTCATAATAAATTAGTTGTGACTCCAGTATACTTCTGTATCCCCATAATCTTCTATTTTAGTTGCCATTAAAATGATGGGACAGGGCACTTTTTAGACAGATTAGAATTCAGCTTTTGAGCTCAAATCCCCATTGTTTGGAGAGGTCCCTGGCCAAGGGACCAGTGGCCAAGTACTGTGTCAAGTATGAGTTAACCTCCTATCCTTAGCTTCTGGGAAAAGATAGCTTACTAAGATTTTTACCATCGTACCTCATGCTCACTTGAAGGGTATGTTTACAGTCTCATCTTCTGAAAAATTCCAAAGGATCATGGTGCTCACACTTCCAGTTTCGCTGCTTGCCAGGTTTGAGGAGGGTGTTTGCCTCCAGGCTGAAGGAAATGTTTTTGGGTGTAGAAGACCAGATTTTCTGGAAAAGTTTCCTGTAGTGGAAATGGTCACCTGTTGGATCAAGAAGAGTTCTTTGAGAGATGAGTAACCTAATTTTTATTGTTATTGCTACTCTTAGTTTCTTACTTTTGGCACCTGTTATGTATTTGCACTTCCCAGTTTGCCCTATAATGACCCCAGTTTAAAGAAGCAGTGTTACACAAATATAAGGACTACACTAAACATGCAGATTGGTGTCAGTAACTGAAATTGTCCAATAAGTAACTGACCGCAAGTGATGGTGAACTTTTTCCATGTCACTCAGATGACACATCTATGCAACGGATACATTTTGAAGGATGAAATCAAGATACACTGATCCCAAGGTGAAAGTGCAGAGCTGATATAACGTTGAGTCACTTTGTAGTGTATCCAGTTGTTCTGATACAAAAAGAAAAAACCCACCAAAACACAAAAAAACAACCAAACAAAAAAAACATCAAAAAACCCCACCCAAACCACTCTGTAGTACTTTTGGCTTTGTTAGACGAGGTAAGAGCAAGAAATAATATAAAATTTCTTGATAACATTTTGTTTGTTTGTTTTACTTTTTTCTCATCTTCTGGTCCTTTTTCAGTTCTGGATAATAGGTTGGATACTTTTTCCCTTCCAGACTGGAAAATATTTTCTCTGCCTTTTGTTTTAATCTTGTATCTCTGATAGTACTTAAACCTGCCAGCTTGGAATTGCGTTTTATCTGTGGTGGCAATATCCATTCAAGGGGATATTTTGCTTAAGAGTATATACCCAAGAGACATTCCTTTTGTACCTGTTTAGGGCCTGGGATTGTAATGATCAATTCTAGAGGGATTTTCTTGGAAACTCTTCTCACTTTCTTATAATTCAGTGAAAGATACTTTGTAGTCTTGTATGAAATGAATGTCCTCTCAGCTTCTGTATGACAGCTAAGGATGTCTGACCTTTGTGAAAGGAGTGAGAAGCCTGTACTGGATCAGAAGGCAGGTAAAGCTCGCCCTGGTTTCTCAGAG